GAGGGTCGCCGAGGGTCGCCGAGGGTCGCCGAGGAGGGGAGGCGCCCGAAGGACGTCCCCACTGCGGTGAGTGCCTCGACGGCCTGGCCCTGGCTTGGACAGGCCGCACTGCGAACAGGGAGTAGTGTGTGCGGCCTTTTGCTTACCACTCGGTAAAAACAATGTCTCATTTTTGGGGGGCGAGAAAGGGGAAAACAGTGAGAAAAACTACTCTTAGATTGCGAGGGTCTCGTTAAAAAAATGTGGGAATTTCCTGCATTTCTGGAGGAAACCTCGCCAAACCCTGAAAACTGTGTAATGAAGCATGTTGATTAATGCGTACTTCTGGTTTTGTAGAATATTTTCTCAGCTAGCTCTAAGATCGAGGGGATAATCCCTACGAGAAAATGCGTACACCTTAACTTTTCAAATTCCTACTTTCAATCACTTGCCCATATCAACTGTATTATTTTCATTTTTGATCTGATCAACTCTCGATTTGTCACTTTTGTTTCCCCCATTTCGCCCAAAACATCAGTCATATTGTTTTTACCGTGCGTCGTTATTGGGGTGCTGTGGTTCTTGCATTTGGATCGACTGGCGCGCGCGCGCACTGTAAGGCTTCGCGGACAGACATAGCTTCCGCCGGAGTTAAAGAGTCCCCGATGTTTCTATTAATTATTTGAACGTGTTCCAGTATGTACTGGGTGATACACAGCACGCGCCGCTGTCGGCGGGTTTGCCTTCCCTGTCCGCCCGTAAGGCGCCATAGCCCCTAGGGTATGCAATCCCGCAACACCGCGGCGCGTGCTCTTAATCACCCGGTACTTCTATGAAACTTTGCTTTGAAAACTGTTCCGTTAATCCAAAGAAAATTTCGTTAAGTGAAAGATTATTCCATTAAGTTGACGGAATAAGCGTACAATAGAAGATGAAATCAGCAGTGTCATGGTAGTCTTCAGGAAATTGCACTTGAGAGATTGCCAAAGAGGGGAGGGGCGACTTTTACTTCTGGTCGAGGCAGTCTCTAGGGCACTGTCTAAAAAGGACACTGACTGGTTGAGAACACTGTTCTCTGGGGGGCGCTGTGTCAACACGCCTTGTTAAACTTCACACGATGAGTCGGTTGCGTGTCCTGCGTCTATTTTTAATGATCTGATAACAATTGCGAGGTACCATTTGAGCTATAGTTAGCCCCTATACCAATTATCATCTATTCTGGGAAAAATGTAAATGACTGTTACACTGAATGGGCGACAATCAATGGTTCATCTATCAAAACCACCCCGCAGCCCTCCTACAGTGCACACGTTCATTTACATTTTTTCTGCGGTGGATCTTCGTGGAGGGTTGGTTATGTAGCTATACTTGAGCTCTACGAAAAATTGATGGGGAAGCTTTAAAGGGGAAGCGGAGGGGACTATCTCTTTCTTAGCCCTGTGGGCTAATATTTTAAACAGCAATGCTGGCAAAAGAGTCGAAAAATCAGTAACTAGGCTGATAGCGCGTGAACCGATACGCTACTGCACGTAGCACGGTGACATTCCAACAGTTCTCACACACGTAAGGTTACGGGTGGCCTCGGGGTGGGCTCACTGCTCCCCTGCCAAAAGTTTTGTTGTTTTTCTTTTGTCAAAGTTGGGGAAAGCATGCTGTTAGGACTGACAACTTACTCTCCCAGAGCCTTCATGGTGGATTAAGTCTCGTGGAGCGAATCGCCCCACGGCGAAGCGCCTCAGCTGAGGAAGCTCGCCTCACCTCACACGTTTTCGCCCAATCACAGTCCTCGAAAAACTTTGAGGAGAGCTGACTCAGCTGAGGCCCCTCACCGTGGGCGAGGAGGCCTCAACTCCCTTAGAATGTATACCAGATTGCCAAGATTGCCTGATCGCTACGGGAATATTTTGCTTTTAGGGCATAAAACGCCTGTGCACAACGCACTACTTGAACCCTAAATGTAGGCAAAAAGGCATAGCTTTTGGGTCCAGTTGCCTAGAGATTGCCGATGATTATCGTAGATTGCCAGGGTGGTGTACATCAGATTGCCGGAGTTGTGGCCCCCTCGACCGCGGGGTGACTCGCCGGTGTGAATTCAGAGTTCACAAAACGCAAGAGTATAGAGTGGGAAAATTATTGCTTTGCCAAACTGTACTGGAAAGAATATATAGTCACTTACCCAACCAAAGGAGGTGAGCAGTGCTCTGATTATATTTGAACTTAACGACGTCGGCCCTAAAGCCACAGACAAACGCCAAACAGAAAGGCGAAAAGTTTTCCAAAACCTGGAATTGAACTGTCGACCTCCGAAGCCCTGGGCGCTTTGCTCTACCGACTGGGCCATCGAGGCGAGATACGGGCTGTCACTCCAGGGGACGAGCCATTCTACGCCGTCGCTGAAGGCGAAAAAAATTCTTAGTGTGTTAAAAATATTTTGTTCACCCAACATGTACTAATTTGTGCGTTTTGAAATGCGCGGGGCACAACATATCGAAAGATGTCGATAACTTTTGGGGGTTCATTACGTAAGCCGGGACCCAGAGTGTCGCACTGGCCCTGCCCCGGACGTTTGGCACCACCGCACCGCCGCCGTCCCAGCAGGTCCAAGACTCCCCTAAAGTAGGAATCAGAATCATGGGCGGAACCGTCGCAGGCGGGGCAGGACGGTCGTGCGGTGACCTCACTCCCCGCAATTTTGAAGCATTGTTAGAAAGTTTGCATTGAAAACTCACAGTTAAAACCTTACGAAGCAAAATGCCAAATCCTTCGTACCTTCGAAGGATTTGCTACCTACAAAGCTTCCAAACTCTTCGTACCTCCGAAGGATTTGGCATTTTACTTCATAAGGTTTTAACAGTGCTACACAACAGTGTATTTTCTTTGCATTGCAAACTATTTTCTTTGCATTGCAAACTATTATTTGCATTGCAAACTATTTTCTTCGTAAGTTGTGAAGAAATAGTTTGCAAGGTTACGAACTAAATCTTCGCAAGGTACGAAGAACAAGTTCGCAATGTGAAGGATTTCGTTCACAATGCAAATCATTTAACGCCACTTCTAAATAGTTGTTCGCAAGCTTTTCCCAGTGCGGGCCCTGCCATCTGCGTCCTGCGTCCCTCATTAGCCGCACTGCTCACCTGTTGGAGCTGTGAAGCGACACATGTGCCGTGTTCGGCCGCAGATAAGCCTCCCAGTCAGTCATGCCGTCGGCGCGAGCGGCGGCGGCAGCGCAGCCCAAGGAGCGCACCGAGTATTCGAGTGTTATTCGTTTGGCGATGTTCAACATGAATTTAGGAATAATCTCGGCGCACTCGCACTCTCATGGCCGAACTCATCGACCGGGTTCGAATTGGGTTCGAATCTCCACGACGGCGTTTAAGACGTTTTTGAATTCTTGAGTGTCTTGATGCCTTTTGTGACGCCGATGGTGTCCTTACAGCTGAAGCGGCCGGCAAGCAGAAAGGTGTGTGTGTGTGTGCGTGTGCGAGAGAGAGAGAGAGGGGGGGGGGGGTGCCCTTCTCCGAGCGTCTTTGCTCACTTTTACACCCCAGCTTAACCAAATTGTTTGCTCACGGCGATTCCCTCTCCCCTGTCCAAAGCCAACCTCCCCTGCGCCAGCAGGTCACCGCCCTTCCCTGTCGACGGACGGGATGGTGGAGGGGGGTGGGGGTGCGACCTAGCTTAGGCCCCCCCGCCGCGCAACCTGTAGGGGGGTTGTCCCTATATAATGGGCTTGTCAACGACGTCAACGCCGTCC